AATTAATGAATTTTTAATTTTGTCAAGTATTTAATTAATGCATCTAATATTTTGGGTATGCAAATCAAATTAGCATTTAATTAGTTCCTAAAATATTGGGTATGCAATATTAATTTAGGAATATCCATGTATTTCCTAAAATGTTGGTATGCAACACGTAAAAGAAGATTTTCTAATTTTTTTAAATATAAAATATTGCAACACGTAAAATTATTCCAGTTATTTTATATTTTATTTTACATATAAAATCTAATTAATATTTAATGCATCCTATAAAATTGGATTTAGTTTAATCGAATAATTCGACACCGGGTCGTGTCTCTCAAGGAAGGTTATCTGGAAAATTTTGTACGATTATTCAAGCACAAATAGAAAAAATAAAATACCTAAACATTCTAATTCAGAGATTGGTTATTTTTAATTATCAACTATTACAGAGATTTAAATAAAGCAATAAAAATAGCAAGTGAAGACAAAGAACAAATAGGATTTAAGGAGCTAGGGAGTCGGGAATATCCGTTTTGGTCCAAAATACAATTATCGGGCAAGTGCTTGTTCAGTTTAGTGATTTGAATAACCTATCGTTCAAGTATTCATTCTCAATAACATTTCGTAACAAGAGAACAAGCTTGAACGACAAATTAATAATTCATTTAACGCCTAGGCAATACAGTTACGAACAAACCTAGTTCATACGAGCCTATTTCGACTGACTCCTCCCCTTTCGGTTCTAAGAGTCGATTAAATTAGACTAGGAGTTGGTTAATCAGCTAGTCCGTTTAAAGTTTTCAAAATCATGCACGAATTAAACGAATTTAACTAAAATAATTGGACGTTGAAGTGTCACCCTTCAACAATTCTCAATATTCGAGCCTGACAATTGAAAAAACCCTAGAAAAAGATTAACTCGCACAAATTAAACAGTCTCGAGCCCGACAATCACAAACGAAATCAAAACGTCATCCCCTATTCCCTAGCAAATTAATTTAGCCACTCATTATTGATTCAACATCAAAATTCACAATAATCCAAGCTATCACAATCATAGTAAACGAAAAAAAAGCTTACGATTAATATCCAACGTTGAAAACGAGAGCAACCAAATCCGGAAATACTAATCTAGGAGTTTTTTCACTCTCAAAACCAAATCGATAGAAGAAAACTAAGAGAAGATTGAGTTTGGAAGGGAGAGGAACGAGATAAATAAAAACTTAGGTGCTGAACGTAATAATAAAAAACGTCTAAAAAATCTGATTTAAAACTCTGCCATCGCACAGGTTGCGGTCGCGGTGAAGAAGAGCTCCGCTGCCCCAAATCATCTCGAGGCCGCGGAAAATCTGGGCACGCGCATGGAGGAGTGTAACAGGTGCCGCGGCGCGAAGGGAGGTTCTTTCACGGCGTGGCATGGCAGCATGACGCTGGGGTTGAGCTTGCCGCGGCGCGTTAGGCAGCTTCTGGTCGTGGACTTCACGGCGTGCTGGGACGTCACGGCGTGAGGGGACTGTTGGCAGCAGCGCGACGCATTCTCCACGGCGTGGCGAGTGAGCTTTTCACGGCGCATAGGGAATTCTGGCACGGTGCAGCGGGATTTTGGTCTCGCGGCGATGCACCAATGCACGACGGAGAAGAAAGCTTGGTCTTGGGACTACTCTGTTGCACGCTCGCGCACGATGCTTCGATGTCAGGCGGTGTTCCGGCGAGGCTTCTCGTGGCGGTTGGAAGGACTTCGGGCCGATTGGGCATCGTGCTCGACTTCGCGTGTGTTTGTCCAACTTCCGATATATGCTTTTAGTGCTGCTTGCTCATTTGCAAATTGGTGAACTCAGGATTGCCCTCCACTGTATTGCTGCTCGTATTCTGTTGCCTTTTTAATTGAAGTCAGCCGAAGTACCCAACCTGTACACCACAACAGACGAGACAAACGCAACAAAAACGGAAAAACAAACTAAAAGCACAGAAAGACTCCAAATCGCGAAGAACAAGAAACTAGACACATAACAAACTAGAAACAAACAAAAATACCTAATATGGGAATCGAATCGAGAGGTGACAAACAAAAAAGAAATAAAAAATAACAACGGAAAACGAAACAAAACTGGGACAAACAACCGTCTATTGAAAGATGTAAATTTCTGGTGATGAAATCGAATCGAGAGGTGAAGCGGAATTGATAATTGCTGGTAAATGAGAGGCGTAAATGAACATAACATGTTTCAAGATTTTAGGGCATGTATTTGAGAATTTGATAACGGTAAGGGGCTTAATTGCAAATCTAGGGTTTTTATTAAATTTCAATTTAGTACACGGGTCAAATCTGTAATTTATGAAAACTATATTAACTACACAATAATGATAATGAAAGTGTACAATATTATTTAATAAATGCATATTATAAATTGAATAAAATATAATTGAAAAAAAATATTAACTCAAAGTAAATAAAATATAATTGAATTGAAATATAAAATTTCGAACCGAAAATTCTAGTTCGGTCGGTTTTGACGGCTAGTGCAATCTGATATTCATTGACGTGCGATTTGTACGACATCATTGTGCAGTTGTAATATATATAAATACAAATTAGTAATAATAATAACAATTATAATAATAATAATAATAATAATAATAATAATTATAATAATAATAATAATAATAATAATAATAATAATAATAATAATAATTTACATGTAATTTGGTAGGTTTTTTTTTAGTTATTTTTAAAAAATAATTTCGACCTTGAACTTATATAGTCGTACTTTTATAAGTAAAAACAGATTATCGAACTGAAATGTAAAATTTAAAATTGATAAAATTAGTTCAATCGATTAAATGTAAATGGATAGTCATTAACGTGCAATTAATCTAACAGTATGGTGCACTCGCAGCACATGTATTTTTAATAATTTGTTCTAAGCCAAACTAAAATAAAATTTAAATAACCGGTAAGCAAAATACTACATATAATATAAATATTTAATATTTAAATTATAAAAAGTATTTAGTATTTTTATTATTTATATTTAATATTTTTTTAGCTGTAAATAAACATTATTTCTATATAAAAATATATTTTTATATAGTTAGTTGGTTTGATTGTTATGGATACTTTAAAAAAAATAATGTCAATATTGAACTTACATAATTGATATTCTACAAATGAAAATAAATAATCGAGCCGAAATATAAGATTTCGAAATTAAATATTTTGTTCATTCAGTTTTGGATCATTATTATGAGCAATTTATCTAACATTATAGTGCAACATGATAGTCGTTAAAGTGTAATTCGTCT